TAAAACTGTCGGGGCCCCATTGAATGAAACTACGTATTATAGTTTATTGGTGATCCGCTTCTCGAGCGGATCATCCCCTCTTGTTATTGTCAGGATCATCTTTTTTTTTTTTTTGGTGATCCGCATCTAGTGCGGATCAGGATCATCTTCTTTTTTTTTGGTGATCCGCATCTAGTGCGGATCACCTCTTGTTATTGTCAGGATCATTATCATCATCATCTTCTTTTTTTTCTTTCTCCCTTTTTCTGTTCGCACGATATCTCAAAAAAATGCCACGAGTTACGCACAAGACCGTCATCCAACATTGGCTTGGTCTGGAATAGTCATGCATGGTAAGCTTTTCAACGCGCTCAGTCATGTGTGACGTCATTTACGCGCAATTTAGCGTTTTTACATTATCAATCATATCAGCCTAACTAATTGCCATTTCGAAATCGTATTAAGTGAGCATAAACTTGAGGTCAATGTTGAATAATGTTCCCTAATTTTACGCTTGCGCGCAACGGGTAACAATTGCGAAATCGTATTACTTATCGACTACTTCTAGGTGAGCTGTCAGACACGATTTTACTTTGCGAGTGGATGCCGCAATTGGTACAACCGATCGCAATGCGGGTATAAGTCGGTAGAACATACATTAATTAAGGCTGAGCAAAAGTTTCTCAAACAGCTTCTAATCCAAACGTATTTTAATAATTTTTTTATTAACGAACTATTTGGAATTTGTCGCGATGCGTGAATAGTCGCCATTGCAAAAATATCAATGCGAGGATTGATCATGTGACTTGATTTGACCAATCCCAAAACAAATTAAGCTACCATTGAGGGCGCAATATGACAACAACAAAGATGGCGACTCACAGGCAGTCACACATCCACCACCTCGGTGTGGTAAAAAATCTGTATACAAAAGGGTAAATCCAAAGAATTTTCCCTGCACAATGTATTTTGATGATGTTCCGTGAAGCGGGGTACAACCTTTTACAAAGACAAGATGGAATACATTTAGAATGTGGTCTCTTATACACATCTAGATGTGTATAAGAGACAGATACTAAACAAAAGAACCGAGCTATTGTCTAAATGCAGGCACAACAACAAATACTTATTTAAAAACAATTAACTCATTTGCATTTTCACATGCCTTAGCATTCATATACTCCCACAATTCTTGTATTCTCTCACTCCTGAATATTGCATTAGCATGAAACAGTCTATAGAGTGATTATACCAAGTTCTACATGTTCAATTTTCAATATGTATATGTATAT